GTGTGTGTGTGTTTAATTGCAATGTCTTAAATTGGTGGCAGTTGTGGAGTTTTCAGTCAAAGTTTGAGCTCTCAGGAATCAATATTCTGCTCGATCCTTCTTCTTCATTGTGGGTTCCTCTCTGTGAGGAAATGAGTGATTGAATCATCTTACTGGAGACTTAGGCCAGCCAGGCATCCCTCTCTCTCCCTCTCAGGAGTTAAATGATAAATCTCCAGATGATGCCAACTGTAGCTAGATAGTGCAATGATAATGTAGAGTTGACTGTTGGTGCTTTCACAAAATATTTTCACCGTGGGATTTTAGATGAATAATCATCAGCAACGCCAGGAAATGACCACACTTATGCCATATTACGATATCTCAGAAACTGTATGTTTCTAGTTGGATACAGGCAGCCCACATACAGTACGAGGATGATCCCCTTCTTGCCTCTACATGGCAGTGCGCTGACCTGCTTGCCAGTCACAGCTGCAGCCAAAGTATTCTCATTAGCAGGGAGTCGCTGGTGTTGCAGCTACTGGCACATCCAGAGGACAATTTTCCAATAGAAGGACTTATCGGCACCCTCCTCCACCACCCTGTGATTCTCTCTAGCTCACTCTCTCCCCCCCCCCCCCCTCCCTCCCTCCCTCCCTCCCTCCCTGAATTACACATACAGCAAGTGTTTTTTTTTTTTTCCTCCCAAGTCTCCTCTGCAGCAGTTTTCAAATGCGCGCACCGCTGTCGGTTTCAGAGGTTTTGCTCGGGATGGCATAAACAATTAAGTTGCATGCCCGCATGAGCGACGGTGCTACGATGAAGAGGTTTGTGACTATAGTGCTACGCAGCCTCGTTAGCCTCTCCAAGGAAAACCCCATTTGGGCAAAGGAGCACCACCGGCCACCAAAGAAGGAGATCCGGAGGAAACGGAGGGCGGTCAAAAGAGCCAAGACCATGGGCAGACGCAACTTAGTGAGGGCGGTTGGTATTTCTCCAGTGGTCAGTCAGCTGCATCACTGGTTTCTCTTTTCTACGCTCTGATTTACGTGAAGGTGTATTTTAGGATATTCGGTGTGGGCTTTTCGGGACAAATTTGCACCGTAGTTGTGTTCTCTGATTGGTTAATTGCGTGTCCTGATTAATTTAACTGTTTTTATATTGTTACAATATTTCATTACATTGTCTTAGCTGTTATATTTCTTACATCGAACACTATCGTAAAACGTAAATGTGAGTATAAGGATGCACAATATTTCCACCATAACTAATTCAAATAGTGGCATCAGTTTAATCTGTATTCAAAGTGATGTTGTTGATGCCTCGCTGGGCTGTTTTGTGTCCAGTAGTATGTTGTCTTATTATCCAGCTGGGTGCTCTCCAATGTCCCTCGGGGATTAGCAAAGTAATTATCAGTAAAATGTAGACATAACTAGTCCCTTACTTACCCCCCATTTTTTCAGTTGATGCTCTTGCAGATCATTGCATCCATTGCTAGTCTGTCATGGGTTTTAAAAAACACTGTAAGAAGCAACATGAAGTCATAGAACGATGCACAGCGTTGCTCCAGCACCCTTTCATCATACATAGTTTCTGAGTTTGGCAAAAATATGAGCGTTTAGACTCATAATCATCAGAGTTAAATTTGCAGAGGCTCCCAAGCACAAAGTGATTATACTGTTTCAGTTTGGCTGCTGCAGAAAATGTCAATGAATCGCACAGCTGCATTATTAAAGGGTGAGTCACTTTGTCTCGGAGAAACTCCCGGAGTAATAATGTATACGTAGCTCAGTGACTAAACTTAGATATCGTACGATGTGCACTGACAATTGTAGCGCTACAAATGCACCCTGAGGCCACACATACAGTTATGCACCAATGCAACTCCATCGGAGCACCTACTCAATGCAGCTGATACATCAAGTAAAATGGTGCTTGGTGGGTCTGATGTGTTCCTAGTTGGAGGGATTGGTTCATTGATTAGGATTGACGTTGTAGACTATGGTTTGACACTGAGCCACATGTAAACAAAGTGCTGTGTATGTGTCTATACGTCAAGAGTAGGTTAACAGAGCCCTTATATAGTAGTGTTTCATTTTGAGTCTTAATCTTTGCTTTATTATTCAACTGTTTTTTTACTGTTATGTTCAACCAGTGCAGCATGAGCACCAACTGTGAAAGCTGAAGGTTAAAAGCAAACTACTGAAATACAGACAACCCAGGTTCCAGCTGAACTCGAGATAAAAATCTGTCTTTTCAAACTTTTACGTCATTTTGAACATCCCTCCAAACTCTTGGCTTTGCTGTAGACATATTCTCCATTCTGGCTCGCTGCACTTTATTTTGTGGTCTCTTCACAGTCCTGTTTATCTGTCGTGAATGACACAAAAAGTGAGGCCTGTCACATGAAACAGGAAGGCACACCTTAACCCCCCCCCCCAGAGTGCCTTGTGCCACAGAAAACAATGAAAACCTGGCAGTTGGAAAAACACCCCGTAGATGTGCTGTAACACTGGGTTTTTGAGTTTTGCTTGTCTTCATTGAATTATTGTAGCGAAGCAGTCAAAGATTATGTGGACTGGTCTAAACCAGGCAGATGGGAAACATCAAATTAATTAAAATATCCTTCAACATAACAGAGTTTGATGGCTTATATTTCTCTCTTATTTGTATATAAAGCACTTGAGAGGACGTTTTCCACTCTCATCCTGTTTTATGGCTTTATTCAACCAAGATGTTGACTAATCATACGATCCACATACTAGATGTTTATCCAGAAAATGTTTACCCCCCCCAGCACATTTTACATCCTAAATTCATGCCTGACAGATGTATTTAACCCAGTGAGTCAATACTTCGCACTGAATCTTCTTAATGTTTTTATCAACTTAGACCATCTGGATTTGGGGATTTCTGTTGCCTTCTTCCAGCTTTCATCCTTTAGGTTTAAGTGTGTGTGTGTGTGTGTGTGTGTGTGTGTGTGTGTGTGTGTGTGAGTGAGAGAGTTTGAAATCAAGCGTCTGTCTGCTGACTAGTCTAAAAGGAAAATCTAATTATATCTATAGGAGCCATTAGTTACGTCTGTGTATTTATCTGTGTTTATATTGGGAGCCTCCCTCGAGTTGACCACGGGTGGTTTAGTGTGGCAGGTAAACTCTATATGGGGCAAATTTGCTCACATATTAATTACATTATTAAGTCTATAAAATGCCAAAGAATGCCCATTACAAGTTGATTAATGTCGGAAAAGTGTTTATTTTAGGCCTAGAGTTAGATATACAGAAAATTCAGGCCTATATCACAATCAGTACTTTATGGATGAGTCCAAAGGACATACATATATAGGTCATATCATAGACATTGCTGCTGCTTTGCCTCGTCACCTCACTAGTCGGCTGAGGATGTAGACTTCATAGTGTTGTCTGATAGCTGCAGGTACAAATGAGCACTTGCAGCCGTCTGAACACTCTCAGGTGATTGCTTGAAGATGCTGCATTTAGGACGAGGTTCATTGCAGTCCTCATCCTGTCCTCCGGCTCCAGGCTGTTACATTTATTCATTTAGCAGCTCACATTTAGGAGGATATTTTTAGGATAGTTTCCTCAGACATCCATTGACTCAACCTGTCCTAAAAGTTGTTTCTTGAGAACTTAGAAAAAAAAGCGTGTTATCTCTGCTATCTCTACAGCTTTGACTGTTATGAGAGTACATACAGGAGCATGTGGGGGCTTGTGCTGCTATATCTTACCTCCCAGGCTGAACGGTCTTCAACGCTATGGCAGGCCGTAATCATAGGAAACAGAAACGTGGCAGGCACAGGCACGAGTCCACCCGCAGCTCAAACTAACAGTCGGTGCTGGTGGACAGCAAAATGTCGCATCAGCAGACTGGGCTTTGTCCTTTTAACCGCAACATCAGACAATGACATATTTTCAAACGGAGCACATTCACATGTGATACCATCTCTAAGTTTAATCTGCCACTGTGTTTCAATGTCTTGCGTTGTGTTCCTCTTTCAGATGATATTGACGGTGTACCTCAGCGATGGAGAACAGGCGGTGACCGAGGTGCCCATCACCCCCGAAACAACGTGCCGCGATGTCGTCGAGTTCTGCAAAGAGCCCGGTGAGAGCGGCTGCCACCTGGCTGAGGTCTGGAGAGGCAACGGTAAGAAGGGGTCGGAAAAAAAGCGAGCTCTTATTTTCTTGGGTGGGTGTCAGCACCAGTAATGCGTGAATCATGAAACTCCATTATCACCGAGCTTGACACTTCACTTACAGGCGCAAGAGTTTAATTATAAGAAGCAGTAGCCTTTAGCCTTCCTCATTAATGTGAAAACAAGAACTTCATTAAAGAAAGTTCAGTTGGTGAGCAGAAGATCCTGGAGGAACCATAGATAAGGCAGAAGTTACACACCCTCAAAGAGAATAAAGCTATTATCACACTACAATAATACAACATATGTTGGTACAGTCCACAGCACTGTCACATCAGATTCTACTCGGTCCAAATGATTTGCTCCCATCACCACAGTCGTGCTGACACACCCGGTGTTATCAGCATTTTTTTGCTGAGGGGCCACTCCGCTGTTGAAAACAACATCCCAGCCAAAGGGCTTTATTAACCCTCGTTATGCAACCGCGTTCGGCTGGCGCCTCACAATGCAGCCGTCTGCCCCCGAAACCTCCTAAAACCTCTCTGTCTCTTTGTCGCTCTATGCCCACAGAGTGCTGTCCTCTTGAAATGTAAAAAGTAGTTATTCATCAATCTCAGTGGTCCCAGATTTTGTAGGGATATCAGCACTTTTATTTAATGTTGATTTAGTTCTGAAAACAACACACAGACAGATGACAGCATAAAGCAATAACGATACATTTTGTTTATTGGCACCTCAATGGTCGATTTACATCAAATATGTTTTGACAAATCTTAACTTTTCTGTCTCTGTAGAGCGAGCGATCCCCTTCGAACACATGATGTATGAACACTTGCAGAAATGGGGGCCTCGGAAACAAGAAGTAAAGTTCTTCCTCCGGCACGAAGATTCACCAACGGAGAGCAGTGATCAAGGTGCGTGTTGTCGCAGTCTCCTCGTGTCGGGAGGTTTTTCTGCTCTGTGAGGAGTCTCTAACGAGGAGGGAGGAGGGAGGAGTCAAGGCAACACCTGACACCTGTTCCGGCTATGGAGGCTGGTATTTAGGGCTTTACCAAAAGACTATTATACATTCAAACTGAGCTGCTATTGAGGTTTTTGATTTGCGCTTCAGTTGTGTGAAACATGAATATAGGGACATAGGGAAACGGTTGCCAAGTCTTTATCTGCAGATATGCAGGTTTAAACATGCAAATAATGCATCAATAGATGTGCAAAAAGTCAACGTTATGGATGAAGCTTTGCATTATCGGTACGTCCCTTCTGGTGTCAGTCAATGTTGTGTAATGAAGTTTAATTGATGCTTGATGGGGCATGTCAAAGGAATCTAACATTGCCCCATTTTCACACGCACGCACTGCATGACTTGACTCGTTCTTTGCATGTGTTTGGGTGGAGTACAGCAACGTAAACATCCAGGTGTAAAAGGCATCCGAGCTTAAAATCAATCACTGAGACCTGCTCTGCACATGACCAGATACTCACTGAGGCACATTAATACACGGTGCACACGCGTGGACATATAAAGGAAGTACACACAAAGTTAACAAACTCATTCTGGGGAGATTCTGATCTGATTCATATTTGATTTAAATGTGGAACCTGACTAAGAGTGTATTTTTCCAGCAAAGGTGCCATCAAGGTATCTGGTGATTTATTTAGAAGTATAGCAGAAGTGGTTCTTTTTATAATATCTTCCTGTGAGGTTTTAATCATTTACTCTCATCTTCCCATCAAGCATTTCTTAAAAAAGAGTTTGAGTTCGGTGGCTTTAGTCAGCAGTGCCTGGCCCAGCTCTTAAATGTTTCTGTCATGAGCAATCATGTCAGGGAACTTTGAAACTATTCTTGACAATGGCTGGTGTGTGTGTGTGTGTGTGTGTGTGTGTGTGTGTGTGTGTG